AAACCCATTTTCAATTTTCTTTGGTTTCTCCAGAACCTTAACTGTTTTGACCTGAATAATTTCTTAACGGGAACACTGAATGCTAAGCTACTCATTTCGGGCAAAATTTTCCCAAGTGACACGCCCCATCTCTGACTGTAATTGAATTCATGAGTGTGAAGCGTCTACATTTTCCCATAATGTGTGGCATTCAGGTTAGTTTATATTTTCTTCTTGAAATTGCAAAACTCTGAGTTTTATTCAATTGATCTTTTTCGAAGAAAGCTTGCAGCAAACCTAGGAAATCTTTGATATTGGCTGCACATTCATTCAGGGACCGAGCCTGCCTACCTTCCCTTCATCAGTGATTATCAAGGGCCCTTTATCTCCACACTGCCTGACTCATCCCTGATAACATCTCCGATTCATGGTTACTCTAACAGGGTTCGCATCTGTCAGGTAATTGATTCCACCTTCCAGAGTCGCTGAGTCACAACACTGGAGTCACAGGTTTTTCTGCTTTACCACATAACGGAAATAGACAAATCATTTCGGCACCCCTGCCCCAAACTGCCTCTGTGAGCTGAATGTAGGTCATCGCAGACGGGGCTGTGATGCAAGCTGCTGCAATTTCAGGATACACTGCCTCCTGCCTTCTAGATGTAAACTTAGCCTGTCTAGAACACACCATTTTCCCCTATTGTTTTGATGAATATTTGCCTTCAGCACAATATAACTAACATTTTGAATTGAATAACATTTGAATAGCATTTCAGTTTTGAATGTATGAAACACCTTTACAGACCTTAAGCCATGGAATCTTAAATCTTGCAGATGAGGAACACAGGCTCAAACAAGTTTCACCAGCTTGCTCAAGTTCAAGCTGGGATTAGAGCATAGCTAATTATAACCCCGAAGCCAGTGTTTCCCAAACTACCTGAATATCAGGATCACCTGGAAGACCCCACGTACAGGTCCCCAGGCCCCACCTCCAACTAGTCCCAGGGGAGGATCACAGGTATTATCCCTCTACAGTCTATTATCAGCTATTTGGGGCTTGTTTTTATTTTCTAGGTGGACGTCAGCCAAGAAAGGAAACCAAACCAAAGTACTTTATTTTTATAAGCCAAAAAAGATGTGAATGGCATAACAAATCCTATAGCAGCTTCCCTTGAGCTGCCTCTTTTCTCCTTTCTGGAGTGGATTTTATCAGAAAATGATATGAAAAGAAAAGCAGAGATTGGTGTAGTGGCTGCAGGGGTAGACTTGTAAACCACCTCTGAAGAGGAAGCCCTGATTTATAGGATTTGCTGATTTCCGTGGTGTAAATACTCCCATCATGGCCAATTTCAAACTACTGATGGTTCAACAACCTGCTCACGAAACTTCTGAATATTTAACAATTGGCCCCAAAGCCAGCTCCAACATACTACTGGGTGTAGCATACATAGAGAGAAACTGAATGATTTCCCAACAGTATCTAAATTGTCCATTTCGTGGTTCGAATTGGTCGTGAACTCCCCAAACATCACCCTATCTGTTGGCCTCAGTGCCCGCCCATCCTCACGTCTTACTTCCTTTCTGAGGACATGCCCTGTTGTGGGTCTGGGGCATAATGCAGCCATGGAGGGGACTGGTGAGTGGGGCGTGGAGTGGAAGGCAAGTGGACGTCATCTTTAGGATGACTGCTCCTTCCCTCCTGCCTGCCTTATAGCAGGGGTAGTACTATAGGGGAGTTGCCCCTGCTTGAGGGGCCGCTGTCCTTGACAGGCCTCGCAGGCTCAGGGTGGGAATGAAATGTGAGATGGGGTTTAAGGAAACTTGGCTCTGAACCTGAGAGGGACAAAGGGCTGGGTCTTGCTGTGCCTCCACTCACCATAAGAGCGCAGGATCAGTCAGCACTAACGTGAAGTTGACCAGCATGGGGCTGAAGATATCGCTGGCCTACCTTTAATCCCCGAGTTAAGCTGGAGGGAAGGCTGGCTCCCAGAGCCCCACATGCCCAGGCCCGTGGGCACCGCTGCCGTTAGTCCCGTTAACAGAGACTGCTCTTGTGCCTGGAGTGGCCTTTGTGCAGCTGACTCATCTAGGGAAACTGAGTGATGATGGCTGTCTGATGAAGACTGGGCCCTGAGCACGCTAACATGACTAATGCCACCACAGGTAAAATACCAAGAACATTTTCCAAAACCCACATGAACAATTCTAGGATCACTTACATTCTAGATTGTTCTTTGGTCAACTTCCATTAGTTGAAATAAATATTTCCCGGATGTCTACAACCACCACAAAGGTGCATAATCCATCCTTGAGCTCCCTGGGTAGGCAACCCCAACACTGCCCTACATAAGGACAGACTTTGAATGTTAACTCACTTTCATTCCAGTTGAATCCATTTGTACAATAACTCAATGCCCACATATACTCTTTTTCCTGACTACAAAGGGAGGCATTTCATTTATCCTCCAAGAAGGCAAAGTTAACAACTCCCAAATGAATCAACCAGAGAAGTGAATCACAGTAGGACCAAGATTTTAGCATAAACACTGCAGAGTAGGCAGCATGGGTAGATTTTGAGTAAGAAGATCTAGATTTAATTTACCAGCTATGAGATCTTGGTCCAGTCATTTCATCTAAGAGTGTTTTCCCATCTGTAAAATGAGGATATTTACACTTAAATCTCATGGTAACATCGTCTACCACGTACTATGCATGTTTATCATGTTTTTTATCTGTAATGCTCAAAATCACCCTTCAAGGGTCCTTCAGTTGGAGTTCAGACTCGCACAGAGATCCAGCGATGAGACCAGAAACGAACATGCAAACCCTCCCATTTATGTCTACTTGTGCATTTTTATCCTGGTTCTCAACCAGGGACACAAGGGGATCTCCGGATCTGGGGTGAAGATGGAGGAAGAACAGAGGCCTTAGGTGTGCGCATCTTGGAAAAACTTTCCATTTGACTCTGATGTTTGCTCCCCAGTCTAGTCTATGAGATAGCAATTTCAACAAAAGGACCAAACCACTAGTTTATAAGATTGACGTGGGTGTGTACCGTCTGGAGGGAAGGCAAGAACCACAGAGAGAAATGAGGAAACTTTTAGGATGACGGAAATGTACCTTGGTTGTGGTGTTGGTTTCACAGATGTACACAATCTTCCAACTCACTGTGCTGTAATTTTTTCTAATGATTACAGTTTATTGTACATGAAATTATGCCTTAATAAAATTGATTAAAACACTGAATTGCCAATCCCAGCTCCTAAACAGCAGGAAATCTCATGGAACGTTTCTCCTGGAACACTACTCACCCACCAACCCAAATGCATGTCCTCTGAGTTGCTCTTTCAGTGTGAGCGCTGGAACAGTACTGATCCCTCAACACTCTTCTCGCCCCTGGGCCACTGAGCGGGGCTTTGAACAGGCGGTCAGCGGCACAGCCCAAAGCTCAACTGTCACGCAGGGCCTGGGATAATGACCTCGGCCTCATGAGAACCACACCATGGTCTCGAACACCGGACAGATCAAGTCCCTGCGTGTGACTTATTCACAGTCCGTAGCTTGGGTGAGACAGACCGAGTTATACACAATTCTCCGACGCTATCAAATTCTTAACTGTAAATCAGCGGTCACCCACTGAAAACTTTGTCCTAACCAACTGAACTAACCAACTTTTGAGGAAGAAGACAATGATACCTCTAAGCTTCTAGAGAGACAGTAAGTTCCAAATGTATTTACAAGTAAGATGCTTCAGTATATGTTATACATTTGTATAGAAGCCAAGACGATGTGTTCTAAAATCCAATTATACACTAATTTCTAACTTTTATTTCCATCTTTAGTGCCTTAGTAACTTTTTTTATCAACTGTTTTAAAAGGTCAGCGGAATATAAGCAAAACGTCATAAGATCTTTAACAAGCTAACATTGTGAATCAATGATTTGCACAAGCACTTTTGACCAAATTAAGCATTTTAGAACAGTTTGTTTTCTAACCAAAAAGCACGAATATTCTGTATTTTATTTTCAGTACCTTATGTATATTATTGTAAATATCTTGTCATATTTTATGAAATCTATACTTAGAAAATTAAATTTATGATTTGCAAGATAAAGAGTAAGATAACAGGACACGTCCTGTGAGTGAAGATGTATAGTCAAAGTCTGTGTTAAATTTTTAAAAATGAGCCTGCCTTGGAAATTCTATATTTTTCTTACATTCATGCAAAAATATTGTGGACTCAGTTTCATTGCATTTGGTGGCTGCAAAAGAAGCACAACATTTGATTAACCTATTATGAGTAGAATGTTCCTAAAAGATAATTATTTATCTTTTAGATTAATAAATTTCTGGAGAAGCCAAACACTTGACACAAACAAAATTGAAACACTTGATCAATTTTTTACTTCAAAATGTCTACAAAGTTTTAATTCTCCATTATACAAATAATTTTTCAAAATTCAGACATTATTCAAATGTAAGCCAAAGTCCTTATACAAATAGAATACACACAAAGATCAAAAATATACATATTCTCTCAGCAAACTTTGTTACATAAATAACAGAAATATATACAGCTGCTATTTTCAATCTAAAATACAATTATCTTAACACTGTGACCACATCTGAAGGTACTAGAGCCAAAAGAGACACTACAGCAAAAGTTAAATGATGAGAAATTCATTTTATGACAACTACAATTATAAAGAGACAGAGAATCAATCTTAGGGGAACGTACACCTTACACGCAGATCTTCTTTTTCACTTCACTGTGTTCCTGTTTTAGAATATTCGCTGGATGGGTGAACTCCACAACCCCTCCAGCAACCCTGACCCTGCCACAAAAGCCAGCACACGTGAATAACTACACAATCTACGTCTTTGCACTCTGGCGCAGATGTAAAAAGAACTCTTTAAAAGTTAAACCTGCATGAACCTGTGTTAAAATTTTCCAAGTAAGCTAAATTGGCTACTGAAAAAAAGTCAAATAAATCTTTTAAAGTAGGAAATGTTAGAAAAAACCCAAACCCTTGAAAAGTCTTAACGTAGCAAAGCAATAAAGAAAAATTATACCAGTGGTTCCCCAGAAAAAAGCAACTCAAACAGGTGTATGTTTAACTACGTTTTGCCCCAGAAATTCTCCTTCCTTTTCTGAGCTCGTGCCAGAGTCTGAAACGCCCGGAGACTAGAAGCTGCAGAGCGAGCAGAAATCTCAGATAATCTGTCCTCATCTGCAACGAAAAAATCACATCTAGTGCAAAAAATCTCTCTTATAAAAATGTTTTACAACATTAACAGAAAAGTAAAAGCATCAAGTTTTGTAATGTCAATATTGACTCGGTTAGAAACAAGTAACCTATTACAATATAAGATATGAACATTTTCAGGATAGTTACAGTAATTTTCCAAGTTTACGGTACTTAGAAATCAAACATCTTACTGTTAAATGAGCATTCTGTTTCCTTCATGAAATCCCACAATGTCACTGCCTAAACACATGGCCTATGATTTCAGTATTACTTGGAAATAATTCATCATCATACTGTTTGTCCTACTTTAAAACGCACAGCTGCTCTGAGAAAAAAGCTTTTTAAAACTTTTTAAAAACAAAATGCCATAGTTTAACATGGTACTTACATCACATTTCTAAAACAATCTCACTTAATGTAGAAATAATATTTGACTTTAATTGCTACTTTCATTATTACTGAAATTCCTCATTATGAGTAAGCAAATCTATTATAAGATTATTTGTAACATTGTTCTTCTATTAAAAAGAAAACAAAACTGGATTCAAAGTGTCCACATATTTGCATTTCAAAACATAACAACTTGATTTCTAATTGATTCATATTTCACTGAATTCTGAAAAAAGTCCCAAACTTGCTAAGAGGAGAGAAAACCTTCAACATGTGTGAACTTATATAAAGTATTAATTCAAATTTACTTTCAAATCCAATATCTCTAAGTTCAATAATTTCATACTTCTTAGTATGAATTAAAATAGTAATTTCAATTGTCCAAGAATTCAAAATTCCTCCTGTCACTATTAGAAGCAAATGAATTTGTCAAAATGAAAACCACACAGGAGGAGAAAAGCCCATTTTCCCTAATCATATTTTCTGAGAATTGAAAATTAACAAGAATATACAGGCATTTGAAAAAAATGACGGACATAATGCTGGGCCAAATTCCTGAGGCCCCAGCTAGCCAAGTGGAAAAAGAGGAAGAGTACCAACCTCAGTGTAACACGAGGCACAATCTCACACCATCTGCTTGCCTAGAAAAAAGGCTTTTGCCCTAGTTTACTCATCTGTAAAATGGGGATAATTTCACCCTCACAGGGTTTCATGGATCCAGTGAAATAACACATGGTATACTCTGTAAACCATGCAGTGCTAATCAAATGTGAGACCGTTATACCACCACAAATGACCAGATAATACCCCTCACACTCTTATCCTGTGTTATCCGACTATGGAAATACCTTCATCGTTAAAGGCTTCACGCTGAGGTAACTGGAAACTGTTCATCCTTGCTTTTCTCACTTAAAAAAAAAAAAGGAGAAGAAATTATCCTTCAAAGCCACCCAACAGTATATCTTATTATAGTAAACGCTTAGTGAAAGGAGGCTGTCCAAAGTTTTATTAGTTTTAAATCTTTAATAGGAAGTCCTATCAAAGGGTCACTCACTAAATTATAAGGTGCTTATTTAGCAAATATGTAAACAAACAACAGATAACCTCCTAGAAGTCTTTTCGATGATGATACTGATCTATTCCAACTTTAAAGAAACCTACTGGGCTTCTGTTTAAAGATGGCAGATGGACCACATACGTTTACAAGACTGACATAAACCCACAGGACAAAGAAAACAGCCATCAAGTTCTGGAAAGCAGAGCAGCTGGAAGGGCCATGAGCATGACCATCACCCCATGGCTGGGTCCTGGGCCCACAGGGGAGGGAGACTGAGAAGAACCAATTTGTCCCCCAAAGACCCAGGGTCTGGGAGTACCGTGCACCATGGAAAGCTGGAGTGAAGGTGAGACTGAACCACGAAACTGGCTGGAAGTCTTTTTACAAAACAGTCCATCTGCCAGAGCCTTCTTGAAATTTGCACAGCTGGGTATCGGTGCCTCTCCCAAAACGGGAATGGAGGTTTTGTCTCTCAAGGTTCATCAGAGCCACTCTGACTACAGGACACCAGGCCCCACTGAGGGCACAGGCACCAAATTCACAACAGGGGGTTATATGGATCATTCATCTCCTCAAAGAGATGAGACACGCCATCCATGACCTGAGAACAGGGTGCTGTACGAAAGGAGGATGGAGCGTTAAAAAATTCATAGAAATTAAAAATACAGCAAAATTTTTTTAAAAACTCAAAAGCAGGTAAAAATTAAAAATCAGTAACCCTTTCAGGGGGCTGGCCCAGTGGTATAGTGGTTAAGTTCTCACGCTCTGCTTCAGTGGCCCAGGTTCATGGGTTTGGATCCCGGGCGCAGACCTACAACACTCATGCCATGCTGTGGCAATGATCCACATACAAAATACAAGAACACAGATGTTAGCTCAGGGTGAATCTTCCCCAGCAAAAAAAAAAAAAAAAATCAGTAACCCTTTCTAATTAAAATAAAAAGACAGAGATAGAAAATAGGAGAGCAAGATAAGAAACTGAGACCACGTTCAACACATCCAACACCTGAATAATGGGACAGCCAGAAAGAGGAAACCGAAAATGGAGGGGAAGAAATTACTGACTAAATAATGCAAGAAAATTTCCCAGAAGTGAGGGACCGAGTTCCCACATTGAAAAGGTCGACCTAGTACTAGCAAAATGAAAAGAAACCCATTGTAAAATTTCAGAGTATTAGGTACAAAGAGAAGATCCCAAATGCTGCCAGGAAAGAAAAAGCCACGTACAAAAGATTAAAAATGAAAAGAGCATCAGACTTCTCACTAGTAACGGCGTTAAGTCAGAAAGGAGCAGAGCAACGCCTAATAAAACTAAAGGAAAATAACTTATGACCTCCAGTTCCACATCCAGGCAACATGTGGCAATGCCTGAAGACCTTGTTGGCTGTCACACCGGCCGTTGCCTCTACGTGTCAGGGAAAGAACCTGAGACACGTCACACTTACGAACGGGAACTTGGGTACAACATGACTGAGTGTTCAAAGATGAGACTTTTCCTATTTAAAAAAATCTATTATGTTAACTAAAATCTAAAAGACAATTTATTAACGTATGTACATACTTACAGCCCTTGTACCTATTAGTATAACACTTTCATTTTAAAGGACAAAAATTAAAACCAAAGTAATCACCATTGTGCTGGAATTCTGGGTCTCTCAGAGAGCCCTGAATGCGCCTCGAGGGATGCCAGTAGGACAGAGCACAGGGTGGAGGAGGAGGCCGCCCGGGGGGCTGTGCTGGGTAGTCTGGGACTGGTGAGACTGGATGAGCTGCCGCAGCAAGTCTGCGGACGTCGGCGTCAGAATCCTCCCTCAAAGGCAGGGGGTCAACTGTTCTGATACCAGCAGCCGGAGAAGTCAGCAGAGACAGAGCACGACTTTCTTTCTAAATGACAAAAGATAAAAGATGCACGTGCAGCTAGATAAAGATTTATCATTTAACACACAAAAATATAACCATAAATGCAGAAAATATGAGGAAAATTTACGTTAACTTCTATGTGGGCAAGATTTTATAAGCCTAACAACCAACATATATAAACATACTTAGCTATATAAAATATAAATAAAAACATTAAAAAATAACAGAAAAATGACAAACATAGGCAAAACATACAACTTACATGACTGACAACGAATTATCATCATTGCTACATAAATATTTCTTTAAAAAAGATAAACCTACTTAAAAATAGAAAAAAGATTTGTGGAAGCAATTCATATACACACAAACTACAAAAAGTAAATATATTCCACTTCACTAATAATCAAATAATTTCAAAATAAAAGCATTGAGATACCAATTTTTCACTTACCAAATTACAAAGAATAATTTTCTAAAAAACATACTATAATACCCAGAGCTGGCAAGGATGGAAAAGATGCGTACTCATACAGTGCTCTTGGGAGGATAATCTTTCAGGGAGGCTGGCAAAACATAGCAGAAGCCTTAAAATTTTGACGACACAATAATACTTGGGGAGTATTTACATAAAAAAAGATAATAACAATATGAACAAAAATGTAGCTAACGGATGGATTTCTTTATAGCATTTTCTAAAAAAAATTAAAAATAACCATAGGTATGTAGTTTAAAAAAACAGGCTTCAACAATAAGCATCTGGTTAAAAAACTATAACTATAGACGGCATGTCATGTCACTATTAAAATTAGATTATAAATGATATTTAATGATATGAAGTCTGTTCACATACATTGCTAAGTGAAAAAGAACAGATTAGGAAAGCTTATCTGCTATACAGTAAATACACCATCTACCTAAATAACTCAGAAATCCCACAGCGGACGGCCCTGAACAGTAGGTGTGATGTCATCTATTTTCCTTCAGTTTGGTCCACACTGGCAATGGATCACATCTAAAGTCCCTGTAGGACTGTACTTCTTAGGAGAATGCAAACCAGTGAGATCCACCACAGTTCCCGACTCCCCCAACTCTCCCTGTAGCCGCTGCCTTTAGTTATTGACTTTTGAGCATGTCCCCATGAAAACGTGACCTCCACGAGGGCGGGGATGCTGTCTTGAGCACCCACGACTCCTCAGGCCCTGGAACAGTGCTGGGCGCAGAGCAGGAGCACAGAAGATACTGAATGGAGCAAATGAAGCAACACTCCTGACACTCCCCTCCCAAGACGGCTCGCGTCCCAGGTGCTTTTATTCAGTGCACGGCACCCGCCATCCATCCTGCTGTGCAGCCAGAAACCTAGTCATTCCTGGTGTCTCGTCCCCCACTGTCCAACCCAGCACCAAGCCTGACACTGCTCCCCTTACACAATTCCTCAGTTTCATCCCCTTCTACATATGCCCACCCTCCCCAGTCCAAGCTATCAACAGCTCCTGCCCACACCACCACAATGGCCTAAAGGGCATCCTGTCTACTCTGGCCTTTCACGGCGGCCTTTCACCGGCTTCCCATTGCTCCCGAGATAATGACAGAAATTCTCAACAGCACTGTTTTCCAGGCTCTTCGTGCACCTGCTCCCTGCCACCCACCGTCTGTCTTTGTCTCTTAGCCCCCGTCCTCTCTCTCCACTTATCTGGGCACCTCCTCCCCACCCTTCCCACCTGTTCCACTCTTCCTCTACATCTAACTCAACTAAGACTCCTTCTGAGAAGCTGCCTGGCCTCTGGGACAAGGTCAGTTCCTCCAGAATAGCACTATATACTTCTTCTTCCAAATTCTTATTAGTCTTCATTTTACTTCTTTGTTGTGACTCTTTGATTAATGTGTATCTCTCTCACCAGACTGTGGGTTCCATAAGATCATGCACCATGGCTACTTCTGCTCACTACCATTACCACTTGCGCGTATTAGATAAGAAACATCTGCTGAACGAACAAATGAAGTGAGCGGACACACACTTGGGTTTTAGTATCGTCTATAAAATGTGAAAATGGCACTTGACGATCAAACCAATACGATGAGAATTCTACTCTCAAGTTCTGAGAGACAGTGTTGTTTAGGGACTAAAAATATGGGCTCAGAGGACACACTACCTGGAGCCAAACTCTACTCCCCCATTCGGCAGCTGTGTGACCTCAGTTTCTTCAACTAAATGAGAATAATAACAGTAAATCACCCCTGCCCCGAGTCTCATGAAGACTGAACAAGTTAACGCACGTGAAGTACTTCACACAGGGCGCACAAACTAGTAGGTGCTCAGGAAATGCTACCCATTATGATCATCCCCACATAAGTCAGCCAGATTGCTGCTGCCCCAAACACCCACAATTCAAGGTGTGCTGTTAATAGTCATAGCTAACAGTGTTGTTAACAGCGAAAAAATTTCTGGATATTATGATTATATATTCTTCCTAATTCCTATTGCAAAAAGAGATATAGAATGATATTAATCAAGGACAATTGAGTAATGGGGATAATTTACTGGAAACTGAATGACTTACAGATTTAATTTTATTATAATATTAGCTTTTATAAGAAAACAAAGGGGAAAAATGATTGTGTATATCAGGTTTAATGACTCCTCTGCTTACCAGGAACCAAGGGGCAGACAACGGGAAATGACCAAATCCAGCCTGGTATAGCTCCTGGTAGTGCTGGCGGCAGAAAATGCACATGGAGGGGGTTCTAATTCAGTTGTTAATAAGAAACTTGTTTATTTGAGAGGAGTTTCTAATTAAAATGTCACAACTGTATTGTGTGTACAGTGAGGTGGAGATTGGCATTAAAGTGTTAAAAGACAGCACTGCTCTATTTTAATTAAGTACTTAATTTTATTTAATTATTCAATAAATTAATTCCACAATAAATGAAAATAATACAAATAACTCCAGCTGCAAATAGGGACTGGAGCCACCCTCTTCAGCATAGTCAGCCCTGTGGGCGAAACTGCCTAGACGCGCACACCTTCCAGGAAGCAGCCTGGACTCCTGAGGGGCAGAAGAGTCCACGGGGGCAAGAGATTCCCGACACCTGATTCTGACCAATCCTCTGACCGTATTCCTACAGCCACATTTCCTTTCATAAACCAGCGTACACATGAGCAACAGGAAATGGTTTAGATACTCTGTCACTCCAGTAACACTCACTCAACACGTGCTTAATGAGGACCTGCGATGAGCTGGGCTCTGCCCCAAAGACTGGGGTTGGGGGACTGGGCTCTGACCTCATCTCCTGCCTCTCCCCACCACCTGGAAACTCTCTGCTGTGCCCTCTGGAACTCATGACAGCCAGCAGCAAGACCCCCTGGAGAAATGCAACCTCTTCTCTGCTACTTATCCCGATTATACATTAGGCCTTGTCATCACTGGTAACCACAACCTCCCCATGATCTCAATTTCTGACCACCACCTCCTAACTTTAAAACTAACCCTCACAGGCACCCCAATTCCAACAGGTCCTCAAGTCTGCCAAGACCTTCCATCCCTTGCTCCTGTCACCTTTGCTCTGTACCTTACTTCTCAAGTCCTATTTTCCCTCCCTAACCAACTCGACCTCCACAGCCAATCATTATAATCACTCCCTGCATTTATCTTAACTCCCTGGCCCCCTTTCTCACCTTGTCTTACTCCCTTGACAAACATGAACCCCAGTTAAATCCAACTGTCTGCCTATCTGGCACCTCTGCAGCCAGACGTGCCTGGAGAAAAACACACAACCTGCCCTGACACCAAATTCGTGACCTCTAACCTAGAACGGCCCTGAATGTTGCCCTGCAGTATCACACGTTTCTCTGGCCCTCTCACTCTCCCACCCTCTGAGAAGACCACGGCATGCCGCCTTCTCTCTCCTCCGACTTCCACGTTGTCTTCCCCAGCCTCATTCTCAGCAAGGATCTTTCTTCACATGCTAACAGGAGCAATCAAGAGACTTTCCAAAAGCTCCTGCCACATCTCCCGAGACCTCACCAGCGGCCCATGTACTCTGCCTTCCCTCTTGTAACAGTGAAGGGCTGTCACAGTGCCCAGGGCCAACCGTTCACCTCTCCACCAGATCCTACACCCTTTCTCTGCTCAAGAACATCCTTCCAGCGACTTGCTCTCACTCCCACATCAGCTTTTCTCTCTCTCTAAAACTGTTCTCATCAACATACAAACATGCTGTTACCTCCTCCATCTTGATCTCACCTCATCCAACTCCCACTCCATTCATCTGCTCCCCCTTCACGGCAAAACTCTGGGAAGAACTGTCTGTGATGGCTGCTCCACCTCCACTCCTCTCCACTCTCCTAAACTCACTTGCATTTAGGCTTGTGTCCCTCCCCACCACCAGAACTGCCCTTTGTCAGGGTCACCACTCACCTCCATGTTGCTCAAGCCAATCATCGATTCTCAGACCCTCCTAACCCCTCAGGAGCTCTGACACGCCCTCCTCCTGGACACCTCCAGACACCAGCCTCCTGTTCCTGCCACCTCACTGGCTGCTCCTCTTCAGTCTCTTTGCTGGTTACTCCTCAACTTCCCAGTATCAAAAACCTGGGGCTCAGACCTGTCTACACCTACTCTTCTCTGTCTATATGCACTCCCTCGATGATCTCCCCAGTCTCAAGACCTCACATACCTGCACCACCTCTAGGACAAGGAGCCTCGAACCTGTACCTGCAGCCCGACCGCTCCTTTACACGCAAACTCAGTCAACTCCCTCCTCCACAGGCCTACTCACATGTCTGATAAGCTGCTCAAATCTAACGTGTCCACACAGAACTCTGGGTCGTCCCTGACAAATCTTTTCCGCACACTGTCTCCCATCTCACTTAAACGGCAACTCCATCCTCATCGCTCAGGCCAAACATCTTGACTCATCCTTGATTCTTCTTTCTCCCACACCACAGCTTATCCATCGGCAAATCCTGACCGCTGCACCTGCACTGGACACCCAGAATCGGACTCCCTCACGCGACCCCACTCCACCACAGGATCCCAAGGGCCACCACCGCTTGCCTGGATGTTGTAACTGACCCCTATCACTCTGCCCCCCAAAGGCTTCCCGTTTCATCCAGAATAAAATTCAAAGTCTTTGCTCTGACCCACAGGGCCCCACACGATTTACTCCCCCACTCCTCCCCTCTCTGCTCCAGCCACGCTGCGCTCCGGGCCGGTCCTCAGGGAATCAGGTACTTCTCACCTCAGTGACTGTGCACTCGCCGTTCTTTCCCGAGAAAGCCTTCCCAGGTATGCACACGGGTCAGTCCGTCCCCCACTTCAGTTCCGCTCAACGCCACCCCTCAGTGAGAAGCCCCCCGGCCACCTCCTACGCACGTGCCCTGCTTTAGTTTCCTCCTCAGTACTCACCACTATGCAGATACTATGTCATTTTACCCAGTTACCCCAAGTATTGTCTCTCTCCTCCACCAGAAGAGAGGTTCCGCGAGGGCCAGGACTGCCTGTCTCTTTCCCTGCTGTATTGCCAGGGCCAGAACAGCACCTGGAGCACACCTGCCACACAGCAGACGTCCAGTAAACAGTGTTGTTCTTCTTCCCGCTCTCCCTGTCGAGTCACTGCTGACAGGATTTAAAAGGACACCAGCAGAAATACAACGCCACCACCAGCAAGACAATTCAATGCCTTTGCCGTCCTAAAAGTGGGTTAACAGCATTATCTCCACACACAATAGACAGAATTCTCTAAAATCTGAAGCTATCCTTCATCTAGTAACATGTGACAAAAATAATCACTGCCCCAAAACATAAACATTTACCTTCCTAAAGTCACTCTTTGCCATTTCTAAGCCATCCTGAGAGGGCACTCTTTTCCTCTGTTCTGGGACTGGAGGCTTCACTTTGGATGGAGACACTAAAACAGCACCACCTGGAAAAGTGCAGAAGATGACAAGTGTCGGTTAAACTAAATCACACGTAGAAACAGCAGGTTAAGTCAGAACTGCACCGTGTCTGTGATTACCAACAGCCGGGGTGGTGAGATCGTGGTGAGTCCTCTGGATCCCACCAAGTTCTCTCAGCTTCGGAGTGGGAAGCCGGCCTCCTCTTCCCGAGGAGACAGAAGAGTCCGACCTACAAATGAAAACAATCCGATATGAAGCATTTCCCGAGAAAATATGGTCAAAAATACTTTGCCATCATTATGCAAGAATAAAATACAAAACTTATAAGGTAAGGCCGTTTTGTTTAACTGAGTCCTGGAAAAGAGGGACTACACCACAGCAGCAACAACATCCCATCAGGGCCTCAGTTCCCTATTAGCTGTAAAACTCATGAACAAATGAAAAGGATTGGGACTATGGACAAAAGACACCATTATCAAGAGGAGACAACCACTCCCCGAAGAAATTTGCATATAAATCAACAGGAATTAGCTATTCGCAGAAATCACTTATTTTAATATTACAAAGCATTATCTTTTCTTTCTTTTTTGGTATAACCATCTGATATTAAAGAGTATCAGCTATTTTCCTTAAATCACAAAGAAAGTCATTCTTCCAGACACATGTACAAATCTAGCAAATCATAACGAGGACATAAATAAAAATGACCCTGACTCCTTCCTCCCAAGCAGCTCAATTACCAGTTAGTGGCACCAACACTTGAGCAAATCCAAGTATAAACCATATAGAAATGCCTACGTTACGACGTTAAAGTGAAATCTGCTCTTCATTAGTCATAAAACCAAAAGCGTAAACCACTATACTTAATTAGTGACAACACAAGACACGTACGAACTGTGCACAATAATGCTTCTGTATGGTGACCGATCTAAAACTCTCACCCTTCCTTCATCTCGTCGGCCTCAGACTTCTCATGTTCTTCCGACTTCTCTGGCTCTGCTGTAGAAACCTGCTTGTCCCTTTCCCTCTTCTCCTCCTCCGCCTCCTCCGCCTCCTCCCTCGGTTGCTCCTGTGTGTCCTCATTGGTGTCCTCTGCACCCCAGGCCAGACGCCTCCTAACAGGTACAGTGGGTGCCTCTGACACACCCAATTTCTCCGTGGCGTTTTTCTGGGGGTGGTCGTCCAAGACAGGTTTTTTCCCTTCTAGTTTTGCAGAAGGACATTTCTGCAAAGCCTTATGGCTTGTAGGATCTCTGCATAACAAAATAAGTTTTATTTTAAACTTGAGCAGTTTGAGGTTTCTAGTTTATACCAATTTTAGTAAGTCCGTCATTCCCTTCCACTGTTCACAACTCTATGTTTCCCACAGATATTGCCTTGCCCAGATATTGAAGAAAGAAATCTAATTAAGAGTTCATTTTACAGTATAATAAAGTGACAATCTACAGTTTCTATTAAAACATTCCAAAATAAAATATTTCTCTCTCTCTTGCTCCTACTGTCACATATACATGCCTGCACCACTGCTGACAATACTCACACGTATGCCCTAAACTGGCATTTACACATAAACTAGGACCCACATGGTCTAACTCGTACAGTTACACAACTCGGGCTTGTGCACAAACTCAAGTGTACTTGTGGATCAAGTAAGTTGATCCAAATTTTATACTTTACATAGATTAATCTTTATAAGACATTGTTAAAAAACAGATTTTGTGATGAACTTAAATCAGATGTCACAGAATTTGAATTTACAGTTCAATTTGATATGTATGACTACATTAATATACTGTAACAACTAAACACTATTTTATCTGTTACAAATCAATGTGGCATTTCTCTTATAGTTAAATCATGTTCACTTTAAAACCCAAAACAGCAGAGAATTCTCTCACAGAATCAGGGCCTAAACTCCATATTAACCACAAAAATCCATTAATAGATGACAACGGACATGTATAACAGCTTATGTCTCTAAGTTTTTATTGTTGTTGCCTTTTTCTTTTACTTTTTAAAGTTTTTTTACATATACTGTATAATCATCCTCTTCTACTTTTAGCTGTTAACAAGGAATGTTATAAAATCCAGACTTCCAGATTTACATTATGTATTATTTATATATACAAGTATATAAAACAAGTATGTACAGCTTTATTTTTCAGAGAATAAATTAACAAAATGTAATAAGTGGCTGCACATTTCCATTTGACAAGGAGACAAATTCTGAGTAATCATGTCATTTTCCCCCATAACTCCATGATCTACAGAAGCTACAACTGTACCACCCACAAAGCCCCTCTCACCCCGCAAGATCCAGTGCTCTGATGTTGCTACTAATGGTTCCTTCTGAGCTCGTGGTCGAGGAGACATCCCAAAAGCAGTTGCTATCAGACAGAATCTGATTCAGGTGGTCCCGAGAAAAATGTGTTCCCTGAACTCGTTTCCTATAAAACTCGGCCTTCTCTCGGAGTTCTTTAACCTGTGCAGGGAGTGGAGACATCATGTTATTGCAAATGCTCCCTTGGAAATACCACCAAGTAGCACATCAAAGACACAGCACAAATACAGCCAGAGACCAAGGAGAAAGGAAGGCAAACCTAGCCACACACGTTCATCAGACTATGTGCATGTTTAAGCAGAAATTAACACAGTCAAGCTAAAGCACAATGCAGTTATTTTATTTCAGGCCAGCAGGCAGGGAGACATTTGTAGCAGCCAGAAAAATACTGACACCTACTTCTTACTTCAACTGAAATTACACAAGTACTCTACCCATTATTATAGTTTTTAAAAACTCAAAAGTAACCAACCTCCGCATACCACATGGCATTTAGAGAACCCTAGGGAAGAATACAGAAACACACTTAATGACAGGTTAACGCCATAACTGAATATAATGGAACCAATGAAATACCTTATAATTCTTCCCTCAAAATATATACCAAACTTGTCAGTCAATGCCTTTCTTACTATTTGTAGTCATATTTAATTCAGTAACCAAGATGTCTTAATATTACCTTGAAAATCAGTCCTGTTCCTGCACGGCTGGGATGCTGTCGATGACAGGCAGCCTGATCACTATCCCTCTTTCTCCAGCTCTGGAAGAGCGCTGACAGGCAGAAACCCCCAGCCCAGCTTCAGTCCCGGCCTCACACACAGCTGCTGCTACTACAGAAGCCCCACTGAGAGTTACGAGGCTCCCCCCAATTCCTCCACATTCCCTTGGAATCAGCAAAACCTCAACTTTTAAAAAATGTATTAAATATGTAATTTAAAAGACTATCCCACAAAATAATAATTGTAATATATTCAACAAAGTGACAGGAAAAAAAAATGCTCCGATAAACCATAAGGTGATTTGAATTCCCTAATACACAAATAACATTTTCATATGAAAAGGAGCCTTTCTCACTCATTTGAAACTTTCATTTTATACATCATACTGCCACCTGCTGGTTTCCCTAAATACAATTCAACAGCGTAAAAAAACTTAAGTTGCAGCTTAAAATTGTTTAAAATAATCTTTCTTTATTCTTGAAAAACTCTATATTTTTTCCTATAATACAGGTGGAATATTAACATTAAAAGGATATCCAGATACTGTCTGCTAAAAGTGCTTTTCTTTCACTTAATGGCAACAAAGCAAATAATGAAACTTGGCATCGCAAAAGCAATTGGAGAAACGTATCCTCAGCCCCTTAGGGAGACACTGCTGAAGGCCAAGGATGGAAGGCTGCACCTCCAGGGAATCAGCCAGGGCCAAGGACAAGCACCTGCGGTGGTGACATAAGGAGCCCTGTGACCCCGCAGGGCCCCACCGCCCTGAGGAGCCAAAGCCAAGACGTTCCCACAGAATTCAGAATACTGTCTTCTTCACTGTCCAAACAACTGAGCCATGTTCATTTACCACTTCCGCCAACTTTTACACTTAAAGAGAATTACTAGTAGTGGTTTTTGCATTGAAGAGAACTGAGACACATGGGGTGAGTCTGTGGAACTGCCAGCCAGCACATTCTGAACGCACAGGAACCTCATTATAAAGCACCTCGACAGCATCCAGACTGTATTCCCGGTAAGTCCCCCGTGTTTCGGTCCTTCATGGCCACTCCACCACCCACAGGAGAACATCTGCAAGCCTTGGTGGGGCTTCATCCTCCGCATACCCCACCAGCACTTACTCCCTTCTCCCCCTGACCGGTGAGCTCCTTGCGGGGAGGAAGAATGTAGCATTAAACACTGATTCCACAACCTGTCTTGAGTGTGGACAAAGTGCCAGGCCCACGTAGACGTCTGGTGCCAAAGACAAAGCAAGACAGTCCCTGCGGACTCAACGCTCACAGTCTGGGGGAGCAGGCAGACCTCGTCCTGTGATAAATTATCATCACAACATTAGTACGGTCTGCTCTGTAATAAACGAATGCGATAAATTGAAGGGGTGGTTCCAAAGGGGGTGCTGTCAGCCCTGCCCTGTGTGCAGGGTGGAGGGGGAGAGGCGGTGGGGGAGGCTGACTCCCCTCCCACGGGAGGACCTTACTGTTGACGAGTGAGGGGATGGCCGAATAGCCCGTCCGTGTACACAGTGATCCAGTTTTATTTGACATCAATTTTTTTAAAAAGAGGGAGGGGGGCTGGCCCGGTGGCACAAGTGGTTGAGTGCACACACTCCGCTACAGCCGCCCGGGGTTCGCCAGTTCGGATCCCGGGCTCGCACCGACGCACCGCTTGTCGAGCTTTACTTCACCAGCAATCTTGAGTAATAATCTTAGTGCTGACGTTATAATGTTTTACAAATACATGACTTTAAACTTCCATAATCCTAAACTAAGATGATAAAAGAGGAGGCTGATATTTCCCAAAGTAAGGTGTTCTACTAGAAAGAGAAGAAAAATCAATGGTGTGAACTCAGTATTAAAAACAACCCCTAGAGCCAACAACCAGAGCCTCTGAAAAGCATGTGAGTAAACCACCCAGGCTCAATTACAACTACACACGCCCCTCCTGGGGCAAGGAAGCCAGCAGACTATATGATATCAAAATTGTAAGCAGGATATTTTCATTTCTGAATTTCTTTTCCCAAATTAAGAATTCAACTAAATCGTTTAAAATTTACATGTAGAAAATTAAAACCCAGAAAACTGGGGGGAAAAATAAAAATTTTTTTCCCTAAAAATCATCCCCCCAAAATCAGGAGTCATCTTACACCTAGTAGTCTTTACAATGTCTATCAAATCACAGAACGTCTACCAAATATGGGACTTTATCTTGAAATAAAGTCCTATTTGTGGAAGACACAAAAGAAAAAAATTACCTCAACTAAGTCGTGTGGATGATCAGAAGCTTACCTAACAGTCAAGAAAAAAAGAACTAAACATGGATTCAGCAGCTGCTCTGAGGATGAGACCTTAGTATTGCCGGTTGTTATTAAGAAAGTCCTCTGAGGCAACACCGTGAAGAGCAACAGGCCAGAAGCCGCGTGACGGAGGTAAGTCTACAACCACAGACAGACAAAACCAACACCCAAACGCTCCAGGAAGAGGGGCTCGGGACTCAGGATAAGACACTCAGTGACTGATTAAGAGATTCGAACAGCACAGCATCTCAGACAAGACAGGAGGAAACGCAGATGACATACAGACTAGAAAACTGCGACGTGGCCCAAAAAGTGAGTTACTATCCTAATGACAGCAGTCACTGATGTCCAAGTGCACGTGAAGAGCGGGAATAATATTCCTTCACAAAATGTTAGGAGAAGGAAAATGAGGGGGTACCTTAGATACCTCCGAAGCAGCCACATACAATAAACGTCTTCCAGTAAAAAAAAAAAAAAAAAAAAACCTAAGATTGAAGTAAAACATGCCCCATATTAAATGTCTATGACCTGGTCATCTAACCCTGTTGTCACCACCGGTGATCACTGACTTCTTAGCTAAAATTTCTTATTCTTTTCTAACTCCAATTCACTTTTGAATTATTTTGCCCATAGAGGTTAAGGCAAACTATATCACTCATTTAAATATTTACAACCACCAATGGGAACTAATAAAACAAACCCCCCAAAAAAGCCACGTTACCAAGATATCCTAATAGGAAACCTTGAAGAGACAAATTAACAACAACAACAGAAATGCTCTCTTCCATCAGAGCAGGGCAAGGACTGTCACCTCATCACGACAATCCCCGCCATCCATTCGGTGTCAGACCTCAGATCTGAACACCACTCACCTCAGTTTACAGAAACCTCAGCAAGGGACAATCTTTCCTGACCCCACCTCGTGAGGTACCTACACACAACGGGCAAAGGGCCGACACCGATTTACCGGCCACAGGAGCCCGTCTGGCCACGCTCTGTCCTGCTCTGCCCCGCTTTTCCTGGTTCACCAGGAGGCCCCTCAGACAGAGCTCCTCACCAAGGTCAGCCAGGTCACAAACCACTCAGGAGTTCAGCTGACTCGATTCCTTACTTACATCACGGCTGCCTGCGATGCTCACACCTTTGACTTGATTTCACCGGGTGAATACATGAGTTTTGCCCCCAATCATATCTGGGACAGCTTCAAGCTTGTCTTTTACTCTGCCTGTCCTGCCTCTGAGCCACGCTCAAGCAGGGAAGGCGAGGGCACCCAGAGCAGCTGTGGTGGAAAGGGTCACACCACCTCCTGAGACAACACAGGAGCACAGGCATCTCACCGGGACACAGAGAGCCAGCGCCTCACGGTGCCATTACTGTCCCCCAGAGGCTGACAACACGTAATTGTGGGCCACGGTTTTAAGGATGGAGCTAAAGAAAAGATTCATTCTCTACCCCAATTATCCCTCTCTTTACAATGATGGGGGAGGAGGACGTTTACTAATGTCTAATCTAAACTGTTTTAGTTCAGCATAGTCACCACACAGAAAACCACCAAGAGGTGCTTTGAAAGATGCTAATTATACAATAATCAACAAAGCTCCACACTTTATCCTTGACCATAAGAAGACAGCACTAAACTAGCACTTCCAACTCGAGGACTACACTTTCCCTCAAACCTGTCCTTAGGATCCCTGGAATTTCTCCCACGACAGGGTACCCAACACTGCAACTCAAACCTGTCAGCACAGACCATGGCGTCCTCGTGCTTACAGACTCGAATAGTGCATGCTGACAGTGGGGTCACCGCCAGATAACCAACCTTGAAAATTCATCAGTCTTCAGCTGAGAGTGGAGGTTTGGACGTTATAAAGTAATCAAATCTATAATGCTACAACTCTACAAACTGACTTTACAACACAACCAAATACTTGATTTAAAAAATTTTTAACTTTAAAGACTTCACAATAATAAATATTCATCTCTAAGGAGCTGGTTGGTATAAAAAAAGCCTACTGATAAACTATATCCTAATACAGACAACTTTAAGTTCCTACTGCTTTTAGTGCTATTCTTTTACCATAAATCTTTAAACTGCAGCCTCTCTCACTAAATGAAACCCATTGTGAAACTGCACTGATACGGGCTCATGAGCTTCTGCGGACTCACCTGATTGGGTACGTTTTCCTTCACATGGGTCCAAGCCCCAGCTTTGTATAAATACTGGGCTGGGCTCAGAAACTTTGCTCTATATTCAGAATTCACCTTCCTAACAGAAATGAAATGAGAGTAAATATTTCATCATGTTGATCATCTAAATACCATGACATTTTTCTTATAAAATACTTACCCAAGCCTTTGATGTCTCCAAGGAGTAAGCTTTTTTTTAGGCTGGTTTGAGTCTTTTGATCCCATCTCTGCTTCTAATTTTAAAGGATCATCTGTTTTATTACACTAAAATGAAAATAATTTAAACTTTTTATGCTTAAAATGTGTTATACATTAAAGTGAAACATAAATGTAATAAAGTATACTTGGATAGCATATTACAATTCTGTTTTTAGAAGCTTTAACTACTAAAAGATAACACAGAAACCACAAGAAATCAACAATCAAGTTTTGAAACTAGTATATCTGGTTAGTTTTTTCAAGTCTATAGCTAAAGATATAATTTCATTTTCTAACAAGAAAAATTTTAGATCCTCGGCTAGGAAAAAAATTTTTTAATTAACAAATAAACACCTAAATAAATAAACTTGATGTTACTACCAATTGAATAATGGTCTTATATTTGCCCTTGATATTCTAAATTTACATTTAATTGTTTTACAGTAATTAAATGTAAGGTCCCAATGAGTAAGTTACCACATTGCTTTACTGAATAACTCTAACAGTTGTTTTATATATACACACACACACATATATATAAAATATATATAAAATATATAATATATATATTTATGTATATAAATCATTTTACTTTTCATCATATAATTTCTATTTTTAGGATCCATAAAGTGTCAGGTATGACATTCCAGGAGATTTAAAAATAGGACTTATACCCCATTTATGCATAATTTACAATAATTTTAATTATTGTAAAATTAAATAGCAACTTAAACAGCTGCAACTTAAACAGCTATAATTTCACACAGAAGCAGGTGTTTGTATATCCTGAGGTAAATCATGTGAATTACACCAGCTATAATTTGGCATGCTAGAGCTTTGGTTTAAAATACGTGTGTGTGCGTGTTCTGTGTTTGATTTCCATTATTTGACTTAAAGTATGTGTTTCTATCACTGCTGTTAGCCCCGGGGCTCACATTACCATAAGGCCATTCACTTGATACTAGGCACAGCAGACTTACCTGCTGTGGCACTAAGCATCCATTGTACTGTGTTACATTTAGTTACCTACATCTCCATCTCCCCACTCGCCCAAGAGCTGCTTCGGGCTTCGTGAGGTCCCTATTGTACTCTCAGCACCTACCCAGTGCCCGGCTCCTACTAGGAGCTCAACGAACTTCTGACATTTCATGAACAAATTAATGAATTAATGAACTAGCCAAAAACAAAATTCTCAGGTGGTAGAAAGTGAAAGAAAATGTGTAGAGCCTAAAATCACGAAGATTTTGTTTTGTTTAAAGAGTTGACGAATACCTTCTTTTCAGGAGATATTGTTTCAAAATTTCCATTCTCTTTCAAATCACTTCTTAATATCGGTTCTTTCACTGGAGATAAACCCTTGAAATTTCTTTTGTATTCAGTTTCATGGATGATTGAGTTACTTTTGAATTGTGGAACAAATTTGCTTTTATTGTGGAAAACCTTAAAACAAAAATTACTTTAGTTTAGTTTTTTGGTTGGTTAAATATACAAAACTTAGTTCTTCAATTGCTTAAAAAATTTCACATATAAACGTGAATCACAGGATATGAACAAAGGCAAAATTATATGACTGTAATTTCATTTCACACGGCTAATTAACATCCAAAGAGCAACAAAAGCAAAAATAGACAAATGGGATTGCATCAAACTAAAGACCTTCTCTACAGCAAAGAAAATCAACAGAGTGAAGAGATCACCTATGGAACGGGAGAAAATATCTGCAAACCATAATCTCATATGGGGTTAATATTCAAAATATATAAGGAACTCAACTCAACAGCAAGAAAATGACCTGATTAAAAAACAGGCAAAGATAGGCCGGCCCCATGGCTTAGCGTTAAGTGCTCGCGCTCCACTACTGGCGACCCAGGTTTGGATCCTGGGCGTGCACCGACACACCGCTTCTCCGGCCATGCTGAGGCCGGGTCCTACATACGGCAACTAGAAGGATGCGCAACTATGACATACATCTATCTACTGGGGCTTTGGGGGAAAAAAAGGAGGAGGATTGGCAATAGATGTTAGCACAGAGCCAGTTTTCTTCAGGAAACAGAGGAGGATTAACATCGATGTTAGCTCAGGGCTGATCTTCCTCACAAAAAAAAAAAAAGTTAAAAAAATAATAAATAAAAAATAAAAAACAGGCAAAGAGGCATAAAAACAGACACAACAATCAATGAAACAGAATAGAAAGTCCAGAAATATACCCATATATATATGATTTATTAATTTACAACAAAGGAGCCAAGAATATACTGTGGGGAAAGGACAGTCTCTTCAATAAATGGTTCTGGCAAAGCTGGACAGCCACATACAAAAGAATGAAACTGGACCCCTATTTTAGACCATACACAAAATTAACTCAACCTGGACCAAAGACTTGAATGTAAGACCTAAAATCATAAAACTCCTAGAAGAAAACACAGGCAGTGAGCTCCTTGACATCAGTCTTGGCGACGATTTTTTGGATCTGACACCAAATGCAAAGGCAACAAAAGCAAAAATAAACAAGCAGGACTACATCAAACTAAAAAGCTTCTGTATAGCAGACGAAAAGGCAACCTATAGAATGGGAGAAAATATTTGCAAATCATATATCTGATAAGGGGTTAATATCCAAAATAATAAAGAACTCATAGAACTCAATAGTAGAAACAAACAATCCAATTAAAAAAGGAACAGAGGATCTGAATAGGCATTTTTCCAAAGACATACAAATGGCCACCAGGTACATGAACAGGCGCTCAACATCACTAATCATCAGGGAAATGCAAATCAAAACCATAATGAGATATCATCTGACACACACCTGTTAGAATGGCTATTATCAAAAAGACAAGAAATAACAAGTGTTGGCAAGGATGTGGAGAAAAGGGAACCCTTGTGCACTGTTGGAGGGAATGTAAACTGGTGCAGCCACTATGCAAAAGAGCATGGAGGTTCCTCAAAATATTAAAAAATCATAGAACTCCATATGATCTAGCAATCCCACTTCTGGGTATATTTCCAAAGGAAATAAAATCAGTATTCTCAAAGAGCTATCTATACTGCCACGTTCATAGTCGCATTATTTACAATACCCAAGACATGGAAACAACCTAAGTGTCCATCGATGGATGAATGCATAAAGGAAATGTGATATATAATGGAATATTATTCACTCTTAAAAAATCAGGAAATCCTGTCATTTGCAACAAGATGGATGAACCCGGAGAACATACACTAAGTGAAATAAGCCAGGGACAGAAAGACCAATATCGCATAATCTCACTTATATGTGGAATCTAAAAATGTCGAACGCCTAGGAGCACAGAGTAGTATGGTGGTTGCCAGGGGCTGGGGGGTAGAAATGGGGGGATGTTGGTCAAAGGGTACAAACTTTCAAGTATGCAGGATAAATAAGCTCTAGCGATCTGAAGTACCGCGTGGTGACTACAGTTAATAATACCGTATTCGGTAGATCTTAAGTGTTTTCACCACAAAAAGAAAAAATGGCAACTGTGTGTGACAGATGTGTCCATTAGCTTGACTGTGGCGATCACTTCACAATGTACGTATATATCGAAACATCACATTGTACGCTATATAATTTTTACTGGTCAATTATACCTCATTAAAGCTGAAGAAAAAAATTCAAAGGCCAACTTCCTATACTCATTACTACGTTTTGAATAATAGTTATCGTAATCAAAATCATGCTTAAGCCAAAAGAAATAATGAACCATATCTTTTCTCCCCAAAGTTCCCTCGCTCCCTCTGTTGGTTTGGCAATGGGTGTAAAGAGGCACACTTCAATAACATGAACATACACAAGGCAACTCTGCCGTCAGCTCTACAGGGTTTTTTCCTCCTTGATGTGAATTTTTTTCTTCCTGCAACAATAGAAAATTCTTAACATTCTGAATATCTGATATGTTCATTTGTTCAGTTTCTTTCCCTTGCTTATTTTTAGCTTAAGGCAAGGGAAAAATTCAGGTAATTATTATGTTTCTATTTTTAAATGTTCTCTTTTATTCTTAATGTTTCATAACACGGTTTCCATTTATGGTATCTTACCACTGATTATAAGGAAAACAAATGGAAAAGATACAGAGTCCAAATAAGATATATTATTGCTTTATAACCCTGTATAGCACATCTTCATAAAGATCAACTCCAAACAGTATCTTTTCAAGTACAGTATAACCTCAAGGACTTTTCTGCCAAAAACTGTTCTGACTCCTTTACATATTAATATAAGACGTCCTTTCAGAAAACAGGTGTCTGATAAAATAGAACTGAACAGCTCCTGTAGAGGGTGTCCCATCGACAAGCATGGAAAGTCTGTCACAGAGCTCTTCAATCCATAGACCCTGAAACTGATATGCTTGGAACTTACAAAGAGCATTTGCTTCCAAAAAAAATTCTGTGCAACTCTCACTAATGAAAGCAACCAAACTACTAGTGAAGGTACTGCTAGTGATTTATTTTATATTCTACGTTTGATCCTATAAAAAACATTTCTACACAATGCTTTCTACACAACACTTTTACTGAAATACGTAAAAGTTGTCGATAGGGCTTTGATCTGAATCAGCTCTAGCTTAAAGGTAAAAGACTCTACGAAAACTGAATAATTACAATTTTCAGGTTGTAAGTAATTCTGTAGGTATACCTGCTCTCCAAGAACACTTGTGAGCCAGCAAAAGAAGTAGGGATCCTATTTACTACGTTCATAAAGGGTACATATCACTTTATGTCATTTTATACATTCCTAAAATGCTATATAAATTTCATAGTTTTTAAAAAAAAAAAAAAAAGTAACAAGTCATTCAGTCCAAAGCTGCCAAAATTTATAAGATCACTGGTATTATTATTTCAGTGTAAGACAACTGATGTTATTGCCCTGCTGAATCTAACTATGCTCTCAGTCCCTAGGGGAAGATCAAGTATATAAGTGAATGTTGAGATTCAGGGGAAAATGAATGTGCGAGTGTGAGAAGCTGTGTGTTTACAAAGAAAAACACGAAGACCAGGAAACAGAAGAGACTGAGCTGTGCTGGGCCTGGGGATTGTCTAGATGGAAGTATTTCCTGCCTGGGCCCAGGAGTAAGATGAAGAACAGAGACGAGTTACAAGCCTAAGCAGTGCTGGCAGCTGACAGGAGGATGACGACAGAGCGTTCAGTAGTAATGGGGGGCCAAGACTGAGATTGTGCAAGGGGACAAGGAAATCTCACACCACGTCTAGGTACCATCACAGCTTCTGAATTTTATAAATACAGTTAAACTGACAATTCCTAATACTATTCATTTGATACAAGGACAAAATTACGTATCTTGTGTTACTTTCAACATATCTTGCATTTATTAAATATCCAAAGCAGTCATGCCTTTCTTGGAAGACAGAAAACATGCAATATACTAGTCAAGTAAAGACAACATTTTAGAATAAAACCAATTTAATAATTTTCTTAATAAATAAAAAAATCTCGCAGCATTCAAAAACTCACCAGCCCCCAGTTTTCATTACCCTGTCTCATATTTAGCATATGTGACGGATCTGGCAATACTGCCCATCGGTAGCCTAGGACAGCATAGTATTATGACTATAAATCATAAGGACAGGATGACTTGAGCAAAACGCTCATTTTCACTCTTCTAGAACCCACCTCCAGGCCCACTTAAGTCCCTAATTTCTTCCAGCTCTGAATTCTACGTGAACCTGTACCACCAGACCAGACGATGATGCTCAAAACGCATTCCCTCCACCACACTACCTGACTGGCTGCAAAGGCTGCAGCGGTCTCTTCAGGGGTCTTCCACACAAACTGCCTTTGATACTCAGAATTTCTCAGCACACCGTGGGAGGGAGCAACAGACAATCCAGCCTTCTTCCGCAGGAGTCTATCCAACTGTTAGGGAAAAAATCCCACACAACGTCATTAAAATTTCTACTCAAACATAAAAAAGATATCACATGAAATTGACCCTCTTACCAAATTTTTAAGTGGACAGTACGGTATTATTAACTATACGCACACTGTTGTACAGCAAACATTTTTTAATTGGTAAATAATCTCCCTTTCAAATTGTCAAACTATTTAAAATTCCTTTCTTAATACTGTCACGGAATCCTTGTGCATCCCAGAAAAAGACAACATCTCTCAGTCCCTTCCTAGCAATGACTCATAATAAATCTGTTACTAAAAACAGCAGCACCATGCCTCATTCACACGGTGCTCTAGGCACCCCTTCCCCGCCCACCAGACCAACACATCACCTTCCTGGATCCCCTGTGCCCCCTGGTTTTCGCAACAAGCCATGGATTGCTCTCCAACACCTCTAAATGCTTCTGCGTGGTTCCCGTCAACAGTGGACAGGAAAGGGGAAGGAGCAAACAGAGTGGAGAAAACGTGGAGGCAGTGAGGTGTCTGCACAGGGCCCTGAGGCTTGCTTAAGTGCTCGCAGGGACCTTCCGCAGGCCAGCTGGGACATAAGAGAGCAGATTGCAAGATCTCTGAGATCCAGCCAGAACTCCCCTCCTTTTTGCATTTTGTCCATGGAGATCCTGTTTGTTGTCTTGCTGGTACACAATAAGAAACTGAAAAGGGCCTGGGAGAAGTCAGCTCACCGCCCCTGCCAGAGGCAATGGCCTACTCCCCTTCTGTGTCTCCACTTGATCTCTCCCTTAGGACTCGGGTGCTGATACATGATGAATAAAATCCAGAGGTAGGCTGTCCACCCAATGAAGGGGTATCTTAGTACAACCAGTACAAACGGCGACTACTGAGAACAGAACTAATTCACAGCAACTCAAGTCAACAGCCTCTTATCAACTATTCTATAGACGCCAGACAAGAAAACAATGATGGAGAAATTCTAAGTACAAAATGTAATATTACTGAAATGATAATGAAATCTACAAAGAAGTCTATGCTTCTGAAAAGAAATACGGTGACTACACCTACCCCATTATCTATGTTTTCTGAGAGAAGCTTGGTAGAACGTTCCGGGTCCACACTTTCATTAACTGGTGTGTGGTTTGCTACGACATGCTCCTTATTTTCCATGGTGTCAGAAGCCCCTTCCGCTCCGGAGTCCGCAGAGTGAGACCTCTTGGGCACCCTGGCGGCGTCCGGCGCAAGCACCCCGTCGTGGGTAACGTCTTCTCTTTGCTCTGCCTCCGGTGCCTCCGGTGCCTGTGGTGCCTCCAGGGCTTCGGGCTCTGGCAACACAGCCACATCCTTCTCCGAGACGGCTCCATTCCACGCAAGAGACTTTGAAATCTGAGGATCATAGTAAGGGACTCTTCTTTTTGAAATAAAACTTGGCTCTTTTGTGATTCCTACAAAATACAGTACACAAAAGTAGCAGCTACCAAAGCACAAAGCTACAAATAACTAAAGTTACAAACACAAACGTTTAATAACATCTATGAGAAGATAAACAAAATGTAAAATTCAGTTGGGATACACACACAATATTCTTTGAGTTACAGGATAAAAAAATAAGTACAGTTTTTCAACATAAAATCTTTAATTTTGTTTTTAAAAAATATTAAAAGCTTGACCATAAAACTAAAAAATTAAAAATTGGGGTCACAATGCTCAAGTTATTCCAACGCAATCACTAGAATCGCAGTGTGATGGGCCTGGCAAGCCAGCCAGCACACGCTGGTTTCTAGTTACTTTCCTGTGCTACTTAACCCAACAATGGGCCCCAGCACGGTCAAAATGTAGAACTTTTCACAAAGCTTCTCTTATGCAGAGCAGACCAAGATGAGAAGGGATGAGAGGTCATTATGCTGGATCTCGGTTCTACACTTGCCTTGATTTCCTGAGAATTAAAGAGAATGAACCCTTTTAACAAGAGCTAAGATACTACTTCTCTGTATTTCTGCCTGGCAAGGAAACGTCCAAAAAATGAAGCTTCTACCCAGGTAAGAGGAGCTCTGCGGAACCAAAGCCACCGAGAGACTACCCTTGCCTGGGCTGTTCTTTAACTGGAAAGCAGACCTTGCAGGGCAGGGAAGAGAGACTAAGACTAGGAGGGAAGGGAGGAAGGGGAAGGTGGACAGAAATCTGGCATGAGGCCAAACCCCGAGCTCTTCAGCCTCTCCCCTGGATGTTTCGGCCATCAAACCTGGGGTCCCTAGCCTTATGAGGCTTCCCTAGATGAGTGGTCTTCACGCTGGGTGCATAAACGTCTGGAGGCACATAAAGACACCCCAGGAGGGTAAAGAGAAATGGGCAGCTTAAGGGAATCACTCCAGGTCCTCACTGCCCTATGCACTCTGTCCTGACACTCACCTGCCTTAGGGAATCACTCCAGGTCCTCACTGCCCTGTGCGCTCTGTCCTGACACTCACCTGCCTTAGGGAATCACTCCAGGTCCTCACTGCCCTGTGCGCTCTGTCCTGACACTCACCTGCCTTAGGGAATCACTCCAGGTCCTCACTGCCCTGTGCGCTCTGTCCTGACACTCACCTGCCTTAGGGAATCACTCCAGGTCCTCACTGCCCTATGCGCTCTGTCCTGACACTCACCTGCCTTAGGGCTGCATCTGTAGTTTCAGCCCCACCACCCCTTTCATAACCACTCTGTTCCCACTTCACGAATGAAGGACACACCTCTCAACCACCCACAAAGCATAAAAACATCCCAGAGGTGGGGAGGACCAACAAAGGGACAATTCAAGAGAGTCTAACTCCTGAGGGACATTTGACAGCAAAGAAAAGCAGGCTGAGACAACAAAGAACAAGGGGCAGCGTCTTCTCTCATCTAGCTCCACACCTTCCCATCCACCTGCGAGAACTAAAGTCCATGTGCAAGAGGTCGTCATGTGAAATGCATACATGTGAATTAACACATTTATTTGAATTGAAAAATAAACCTAGACTTTCTTCTCACAGAAAATAACTCTAATTTGCCTGATTAGTGTGCCAAGAAGACTGACTACCAATTATATATATAATGAACATTTACTATAAATTGAATGAGCCATATTGGCAGCTCCAAAGTTTTAACAAAATATATGCAAAATATATATAGAATATTCAATATATCAGAAGTCACATCCTTCAAAACCATTCATTACACCTATGACTAAAAAATTAAATATCCACTTAAAAATGTGAAGGGATACAAAGACATTCTAAATTCTTTTAGGGGGTATGAAAGCAAAAACATTTGAAGACCACCGCCCTAGACTTCTCTCTGCTTGAACACAGAGCTGGGTTCTAGTAGAAGAGCAAACTGAAAGGGGAGATTCTCAGGTGGTCTGCCCTTGTCCCCCAGCACCAGCAAACATATACCATGTTAACAGAACTGCAGCCTGGCCCAGGGAACACGCTGTGGTTCCTTGCCAGCCTCCCTTCCTGAACACCCTGGAGTTCTCGCTCTGCCCCCCTTACCTAATATTCCTAATTAACACGCCTCCCCAGACCGGTCCTCCCTTCACGGTGCACCAGACTCCAAAGTGGCTCTGCTCCCACTGTCTCATTTCATCCCCCCTACCCTCAATTTAGCTGCTCCAAGCTAAAATGCTATGGGGGCAACTCACTGGTTAACCAATTCCCCAGCATCATAATATCCCTCTAGGCCTTCAGTGGGATATTCCCCATTAAGAGAGATTTATTTTGGATTCTTAATCTAATGGAACCTCAAAGTTGCAGAATTTTTGGTCATTTGGAGTGGACTCCAGCCCCTGCCAAAGATGTAGGAACACCCCATCTTCAAAGTCAGGCTCCAGGCAAAGGATCCCAATGCTTCAGAGGAACCCTCAACGAGCCACCCAGTCTCCCCTTTGTTCTCCAGACCTAATCCTGGAAACACTCGCCTCATTTTACTAATCTTCCAGGCTTGGTAAAATAATGCTTATTTCCTATAAATCTCTTCTTTTCCTGACTCAAACATCCAACATTTGAGGGACTTGCAAACCACACATCAGGCACTCGCACACATCCCATGTGGGACCAAGCACGCCTCTGTGTATTCACACCTGGCCCTTAACAGCAACATCTCATGTAACCCTCCCAGCAACCCTGTGCAATGGCCTTCACGAGTCCCACCTGGGGAAAGAGGCCCAATTTGCCCAAGGTGACATTGCTAATGTGGAGTCAAACTCAGGCTTACTCATTCACTCAAAAATTAGTTTTACTAAGTACCAGAGTGTGTCAAGGCCCTGGGTCAGGTACTGTCCTGTGTCAGGACAAAGCCCTGCTCTCAGAGATCTCCTCTTCCAGTGAGAAAGCACGAAACCAGCAGGTGGAACAAAATCAGTCCGTCTCTGTCCCCTCTACCCTGCTCTGGGAACCCTGGGCCGGGGCTCCGACTCCCTTGGGACACAGGGAGAAAGCAAGTGTGAGAACAAGAACGTGGCCTCTGAACTCAGGGGCTCTGATCAACACAGACTTGATCTCAAATCACGGTTCTGTCACTTACTAGCTGTGACCCTCAGGCAAACTACTGAACCTCTAAGCTTCCAGTCCTGGACGCCTCGGGAGTACACGCCCCAGGCGTGTCCACTCTCAGCTCTCATGTCTCAGCTCAAATATCACCTCCTCAGAAAGGCCTTTGCTGACCCAGAAACCAAAGTGCATTCCGTCCAACCCCCGCCTCCCCACGCTGGCCTACTGTTTTATACAAGAACCTGAAATCCCCCAGCTTATGTCCTGAGTTACTTGTCGACTGTTCTTGCCCACGGTTAACGGTCTTCATCTTGTTCAAGGCTACCTCCCCAGAAGCTGGGAGCAGTCCTGGCCTACAGAAAACCCTCAGTAAATACCTGTTAAATGAATAACTCAAGCAAGCCAACTGAAAACACTTCACAATTCTTTAGTAAATTGTTTTGCAAACTTACCCCAGGGTTTATTCCAGTTATGACGACTATTTGTTTGTTCCACTTACCTAACTGATCTGATCTAAGTCCAGCCCATGGGTGCCTCCGTCCCACGGAGGGATTATAGGACTCCGACAAGTAGGACTTTTTCCACAGGAAGTTTCTCTGGTATTCACTCAGCCCCTGCAATGCAAAGTACAATTCGAGGACAACGCAATTAACAAGCGTTGTTTTAACGGAGACATCAGTAAAAATTTCCGAACCTACAAAAGGAGCTGAAAGGCTCAAGACTGATAATGAAACGCAGAAGGAAGAGCTCCTTACTGATAGCCAGTTTTATCCGGCCCTGTGCTGAGCCGCTCACGGGGGCCTGTCCTCTAAGCCCCTCCCCGCTGGAGGCAGATGCCACCGGGCACCGCGGGCTCAGAGCCGCTGCCCTGGCGCGGGCCGTCGGACTGCACAGCCTGAGCGCTCGGCGGACAGCGGGTGACAACCAAACCCTCAGCACTGCAACCACCCGAAGTTCTCACCGAGGACACAGCACTGTGTGCTACGCCTAGGACCTTTCGAAACCCTGTCGCGTCAACTAAAGACAAGCCCCCAGGATAAAGAGTACGACGGCCGGGGCTCGGGGAAGCGGCGCTTGACCCGAGGCCGCCAGCCACCTGGGGCGTCGAACACCCTGACAGGTGCACCACGTGAGAACGAGCACCTCTCCCGCCCGTCTTCCCTCCCCAGGCCCCATTTCTCCGGCCTTCAAGTCATGCCCCCTTCAGAGCTTTCAACGGGAGGGGGGCGGGAAGGGCCGCCTCCTCCGGCCCCCGCGCCCCCGGACGAGCCCCGTCCGCACCCCGCCCCTCGCGCGCGGCCCGGGGGAGGGTGGGGCCGGGGCCGGCGGAGCACCCGGCGGCGAGGCCCCGCCCGCCGCCCTCGGCCCGGCCTCACCTTGAAGCGCACCGGCATGTCGCCGGAGCCCCGCACCGGACGGTTAACGGGCCCGCAGCCCGAGGGCGGGGCGACAACACCGGTTCCCTAGCAAGCGCCCCGGCCGGCGTCCCAGACTACGCGTCGGCGCACTCCGCGCTTCCTCCCGGGGCCCTGCCGCTCTGCCTTTCCCCGCCCACTCTGAGCCTACCAACCAATAGAGACTCGGAGGACGCCTGACCGTCATCGAGACTCGGCCAATCAGCGCCCGAAACGGGGACGCCCGCCTCCCGCGCAAACCCCGAGGACGAATAGCGACGGCGGCGGAAGGCCGGCCAATGAGGCTCCGGGACGCGGGGTAGGCGGGGCCCGCGGGAGCTTCGTCCTGGAGGCCAGGTGTGCGGGCTCCCTTGTCGCGGGCCAGGTGTCGCGGCACAGGTGTGCGGGCTCCCGCGCGGCGACGGTCTACGTGCTGCGGGGCTCCTCGGGGGTCGCCTCCTGGCTGGCCCAGGGTCTGGACGTCATCAAGTATGAGGGTGCGTTCTTAATTCCAAAACGCGTGAGGAACCGAATGTGTCTCTTCCTGAACTGAAAATGAATGCTCAGGTCTGTTCTCCTGAATATCAGTTCCTACCACCGACAGCCGTATATGCTACTTATTGTCGCATCAAAAGGGATAGCCTAGGCAGGCCAAAAAAGTGTTTTATTGAATCTTGAAAGACAAACTGCTGACTTCCAGCGATGCCAGTGCCTCCCACAATCCCCTCCACCTGCCAAAGAAAGATGGACATCTAACTCTTAGATTAGAAGATATTAGTGAAGCTGTGAGTCTCAACTTCCAAAGCTTCAGTCTCTCTCCTCTCACCCTCTTTTTTTTTTTTTTTTAAAGATTTTATTTATTTATTTTCCCCCCAAAGCCCCAGTAGATAGTTGTATGTCATAGGTGCACATCCTTCTAGTTGCT